TGAATTACCAAAAAATAAAAAAATTCTCATAATTCATTGATAAATTTTATAATTAGTAATTCTACTGTTATTTGTAAATCCTGTTATTATTATAAATAATTGTCACAATAATATTTTTGTTTTATAATTTTATGAATTCATCATGTTTTTATTAATATATTATTTGTATTAATAAGTATGATAAAATATTTTAAATATATATAATATTATTAATTGACTCCTCCAAAACTGAATATCAATATCCGTCGTTCCGTTTTGTAGAGTTGGAAAGGAATGTGTGGTTATGGCAGATCATATCTGGATCAACTTTTGTAAGTGGTTCTGTAAACTGGTTTTCACTGTGGCATTGATGTGTGTGTCTCAATTGGCTACTACTATATTCATGCATGTGATAGGACATCAACCAGCTTCCAAACAGTAGCTGAGTGGACCATTGGACCTGTATCAGGTTCTAAACTTGAAACATGATAAGGTGGATAAAGAAATACTATAGAAGAGAGTTTGGAAAAGATTAAAGACAATTATGCTACCATCATATTGTACAAATCTTGGCATACGGTTAAAACTGGATGGTGTTTTTGGACAAGAATCATGGTTCTAATTCAAATTATTATTCCTTGGAATTTCTTGCTAGTAATTTTGTTTGACCTCAAGAAAAAGTGTAAAACTGTCATTTCTCTGGCTATCTAGTTTTGTCTTATGCTCTGGAAGAATGCATGAAAATGGAGCTAAAGGAAACCAAAATGACCCTTTCAAGGAAACCAAAATGACCCTTTCCTTAAGATTTAGTGCCTAGGCCAGCATCAATACTTTCTGGAATTGGAAGGTAAAACAGTACTAGTTTTAGTTTATTTATTTCATCCTTTTTTTGACTGAAATTAAGGAAAAATGGTGACCAGAAATTGTTCTTGAAACAGCTGAAATCAAATTCCAGGGAATCCTGAATATGCTTTACATAGTGTTCTGCGGAGGGAAGGAAAAATTTTCCATGCTGAAATCGAATTGTTGCCTAGACTCTGATTGTTGTTCTTGATAGGACTAGACAGGACTTGCAATTTCACAATAAATATGTGCAACTGGAATTGGAACGAGCACCCCAAACCAGTTCTTTTTGTCTGCATCCTCATCTTGATCACCACAGTTAAACTTGCAGTTTCCCAACCTTCCACAACAAACTGCAGCCTTGAGTTTGAGCACACACCATCCTCAAGTTCAAGCTGTGAAGGGTTTGATTGGAGAGGATTTCTTAACAAAAACTGTTGTGGAGCAGCATTCCATGGCTACCTCGATGCGTTGGGGATAAGGGCAAATAAAACAGGGCTAGTGTTCCTAAATTTTATTGAGCAGCCAAGTTGTTTGACTTCGATGAAGAGATTTGAAGGAGATGTTTTTATTTGTGGGATTGAGAAGCTACAATAGGTGGTGGTGGATGTTCTGAATACTTTATAGCCGATGTTGCTAATAAACTGGCAGATGAACTAAGAAGTATAAGTGAAAATTTCAAAATTTTTAGCTCTGATGGGTTGGATGAGTCTTGTGGTTCTTGTGTTAGGAGCTGGAATGACATAGGATGGAAACATTCCAAATTGACAGATGCAGAGTCCATGGTCTGTAGGTTTATGGTACTGGTCTCATTGACAAGTAGCAGGATTGGAGATGAGAATATTGAAAGAATTTATCAATGCCTGTCACAGAAAACTAGTGTTTATAGCGGTAACATGATAACATCATCTCATCAGGTTCAATGTCAAATGAAAATTTCAAATTTCAATAGAATGATTTCTTACAAATTTCATTTTTCCTGGCAGAGAATGATGAATCAACATCAGTGGATAAAAAGAAGACCAAATTTGGAACAGATAATTCTCCATTTGTTATTGTATGAACACACAGTTCTATAATCTGAAAGATTTGATGATATGTAGTTACTGAGAATTCTACATTAAAACAGGTATTTGGGTTCTGATTGGAAGCATTGTCGGGTTTCTTGCGATAATAGTTACTATAAAGTTCTTATTCAAAAGATGTTGTAGATCAAAACCATCATCCAAGAAACATGGTATGTTCCAACAACATTTCATTTGTAGTACTCATGAGGCCTTTAAGTTTTTCATATGTGCAGCATTGCACATGTCTAAACTAATTCTGTTTGTTGTTTTATGTAGTATTTAAGGATGTGTTATTCAAGAAGCCAGGTTGCACCAAATTTCCAATCAAGGAGGTCTATTATGCTACAAACAGTTTAGAAGAATTGAATTTCATCGGTGAAGGAACTGCCGGTAAGTATATGAATTATGCAGGTGGAGAAAGAACCTGAAAAAATTTTGAATAATGTGCATAAACATATATTTTGAAACTGTTGAACCTCACATCTATAAATAATCAAAGCACTTGATCATTTAATCTTAATATCTCATAGCAGCCTAATCTTTTCGGTTTTATCTCCATAATATTTTTCTCATATTACCAGTTTTTGACCATTACAGAACCTTCCATTTCCAGCATAATGATACGCTCATCTCATGTATTGATGCTCGCTGCACATAATTTATTGAAATTTATAATCCTTGTTATGGTTAGATGCTAACTTGAGTGCTCCAAGTTATTTTTATCCATATTAATGTCTTTTATGACCACAGTTTATATCGACTGGAATCATGTGTCGTTTGAGAGATTGAGGCAAACTTCTTCTTGCAGCTCATATGAAAATGTTTATCCAAGGCAAAAGTTAAACCTCGGCACACATTGTCTTACTTATTTTTATATATTTGGTTAAAAATAAATAAACACGGAGATAATCCTTAGAATGTCGTTCTAGAACTGCTGACTTTCTTGTATCTTCAAATAAAAAGAAGCATAAAGGAATATACTTATTCTATGTGTGTCTGGCAGCCTTGTTCGAAGCTTGACCTGCTCAAATATAATGTTCCGATAATATGATGTATATGATGAGATCTACAAATATGGTGAAAAACATCTAAGCATTGCTTTGTTCAAAACTTTGCATAGTTATGGAACAACACAGATCGAGAAGCCTATCAGACTTGCATCTCAGAATATGATGGATAAACAATATACTCGTACAAAACTGCATCATCTCGCTGGTTAATTCTGGATTTTAATTCAATAAATTTTTTCTTTGATTATATCAGGAAAGGTGTATAAAGGAATATTGTCAAATCAACAACATGTTGCAGCAAAACACATCATAAATGATGGAAATGTGGTGACTTTTGTGAGGGAAGTGACTAGTTTATCTCACATCAAACATCCAAACCTTGTGACTTTGATTGGTTACTGTTTAAGTGAAGAAGAGTGCTTCCTCATATATGAACTATGCCCCAATGGAAATCTTGCAAAGTGGCTATTTGGTAATTAATTCCTCTATTATGTTAATTCCGTGTCATGATTTCAAGGATAAAATGAATCAAATATGATTGACAACAGGCAAGGACAAGGTGTCACAGGTCGAAACTCAAGCTCCGAACTCGCGCGGCTCCGAGATCCGAGCATCCACTCATCCGACATCCCAAATCAGTCTGACCGCCACGATTCACACCCTTTTGTAGGCACCTCACAAGGCGGAGGTGGTGTGAACCCTTATATATCCCAGTGACCCTCTTATTATGTTCGATATGGGATTCATGACTCTCTTAGGTCCGTGACAAAGTCACTTTCCTGGATCCAAAGGCTTGAGATTGCAATCGGTATTGCTCGAGGTCTTTGGTTTCTCCACACGTTCAGAAGGCTGCATAGTTCACCGTGATATCAAGGTCCATCCGAAAATAATCTCTCTCTTATCACTTATACAAAATGTCTCCGTAGATTATTAGTATTACTGACATAAATAAAACCTGTCAATGTTGGCTGTCCAGCATTTCTTTATCCGAACTTACAGCTGATATAAAGCTTAAGGCACAGTGAGTTGCGAGTCTATGTCTGGAATCTGTAGGGAGGATTCTGTCATCCAATCAACTGAGTTTGCTGTCTGTGTTGTAGCCAACAAAAACATTCTCTTGGGACCAAAATTTGATGCCCAGCTCTCAGACTTTGGGTTACCAAGCTCATTGACCTGGGTGAAACCTATGTCAGCTCAGAAGTCAGAGGAACTTTTGGTTATGATGATCCTGAGTACCAAAATAACTGCCAAGTAAATTCGTCAGGTGATGTCTACAGCCTTGGAATTGTACGACTCCAAATCCTACATGGGAAGAAGGTTTTCAATTTGAATCTGAAAAAACCAATGCCATTAAATAAAATGGTCAGAAACCATCCTATTGCCTTTTCATTTTTGAACTCTGTGTTGATATCACTATTGATTCTAATATATATAACCATCAATGTTTCTGCTTCCCAGGCTAGAGTTCTGAGTAGAGGTGGCAGTATAAAAGAATTTGCAGATCCTAAACTTGAAGGGGAATACTCAGTAGAAGCTTTTGACTCACATTTCAGCTAGCTTTCTCATGCACATCAGTTAAACAACAACGACCATCGATGGAGCAAGTTGTTGTGATTTTACAGAAGGCCCTTGAGATATCAACAAGGAAGAGAGCCTCTACTCCAGAAGCTACACCAGACTGACATTCTACTACTGAGAAGAAATAAAGGGAAAATATCCTACACGGAGAATTTCTGATGGTATATATAGTAATTGTTACCATTTCTAGTATCTAATAATACCGGTTCATGTCAGATTATAAACCAGGATTAGACAGTTAATAATTGGCTGCAAAAAGAAAATGAAAATCTACAATCCAAGATTGACCAGAAAAGTATATAGTCTTCATTTCTAAGGCTGGTGTGTTTAACATTTATAAATTTCCATTCAACTCTTTTGATAACAAAGTTAAAGGACCTCCGAAAACAATGCTGAGGTGATTTCATTTAAGATGTATCCGTATTACCATTTTGTTCATCCACCTATTTTCTTCTGTTCAACTTCACAGTTTCTTTTGCAATATGGTTCAGATCCATTTGCAGCATTCTGTTTGCCATCATTTGCAGAGAAGGTGCTTGGCCCCAAACTCACTTGAACTATCACCCTGCAATTCATGTTATTGTCGCGTTTAATGATAAGCTAAACAGCTTCTAGGAGAACCAGTTTACAAACAAAGATGAATAAAAGTATGAACTTGAATTTCGAATTTATTGATCAAGTTTTTTTCTAATAAGATTCCATGTAAAAACATGTGAATTATACATATAGAGTAAAATGCCAAAACTTATACATGAGAAATTATTAGAGAGGGGCTCCCTGCAAGTCATTCCTGGATTTTGCCTCCTCGACATCAGTATGTTGATAGGCACTTTGCTTCTTACAATCATAGAAGTATACCAAGATTGACATCCACTTTAACAAATTCAACAGGGAAACAAGGCTGATATGCACTACTGTTATCACCAGGCTACTTCCTCCGTTGTTCCATCCTACATAGAGGCAAGAAAATCGTAGGGCAAACCTCCAAATAAAGAACACAAGCATTAAGAAGAATCCACATGGCCTGTTACATCTGCTAAGATATGATGAGATCAGTAATGCCACATCCCCTTGTTTCTCTTCCAGGACTGAAATCACAATCCCCATGTTCCATATGGCGCTCCACTCCATGTACTTTCCTAATAGAGCTATAAAGATCACCACAAATAGCAGCATGAACAAAACATCTGCTGAGGTGATGTATATGTATGTTGCGAAGGACAGCAGTCCAATTAAAATAAGAAAAGCTAAAGACAGAGAGCAGATAGAGGTGATTAGAGGCCCTTTGAACCTTGATTCCTTGACAGGTATGAAGAACATGTCCTTGAGAGTGATGGACTTTTCTCCTGCATAGATTATTGATGCCACATCCACGGTTGCAATAGTGTTGAAGAGGTCTAGGCAATGGAGGATTCCCAGATATAAGAAACCCAGAAGAAGGACCTCAGGAGAAACTTCCTCTAACAAGTGCCCAATGTCCAGTACTCTTGAGTAATCATCACCTAATATTTTTCTGAAAGGATCAGGTGTTTCCTGTAAAATTTTTCCCGTTTCAATCAGGATATGCTGGAGGATAATTTCACATAAAACCAGGAAGCAAAAGAGAGGCAGGGAAGTGAGGAAGGTGAACAAAATGAAGTATGGATTCTTGAAGGGGATTTTCAAGGATTCTTTGATTATCTCAAAGAAACCTAATCTCTCTTTCATCACTATTGATGAATTCTCCATCTTCCTCCTAGTTAGGACTCGATATGAGTATTCAATGCAAGTCTTTGCAGGATATTGACTTTGTTATGGTTTGTCTGTCACTTCCTGGTGGAAGGTGAACGGAATTGCCGATGAGTTTGGTGACGTTGATTTTTTATTTAAACTATCGGTCCTCGATAGTTCCTATGTTCATGATGTTGGATGCATCTTGATTCTTGATTATATTATTATATAAGGCTTCTTTTGGATACTAGGCCTACAAACTTGCTTAGCCTGCTACATTGAATTTGGACCTTCTTCAGATCGGCTTAAGGAAACTTGGTAAATGTATAGCTATAGTCCGTTTGCTTATGCAATAAGAAGATACTCCCATTTTATTGTATAAATCTTATGATTTGTATATTTATATTATATAAAATATTAAAATTTATATATTTGTATTATATTTTATATAAAAATTATATATAACAATTTATATTTATATGAAAATAAAAAATATATTTTTTATTTTATTAAATTTAAATATAATAATTATTATAATTTTAAACTATATTATTTTTATATTTTATTTTTAAATTATATTTATATCATATTATCATATTATATTTTAAATTATTATATTTATAACCGTGTGACTTAACTTATAGAGTCGGGCAACTCACTGCAGAACCCCATTCCACTGCGCAAACAAACAGGCATGATATACGACTCAGTTCTGATGGTGTACTGGAGCATATGTTATAATATATGTTTAAAGAATTAAATTTATATTTATAAAATGATTTTTATGAAAAAAAAATCAAATTGGATAATTATAAGTTGAATGCGATTTTGTTAAAAAATAAAAAATTTACAATGATGATGAAATGTATATATCGGCCAAATTATAGTCTACGAGTCTGCTTAAAAATAGATGATTGTAGCAAGGGCAGGTATAGCTGCCTATAATTGTAATTACAGTTACAGTCACTGCCAAAAATACTGTAATTGCCTGCATCAGAGTGAGACCCGTAAAGCTGCAAGAAGTGGGACTGAATGGTCCACTACCAGTTTTAACATACTCTTAAATCCTTGCTTCCCAACATACAATTGTCAAGGACAAAACATTCCATGTTTTTCTTTTTTTGGTAGTTTCAGATACCCATTCTGTAATATCCGTTACAAAAATAAAAAAGAAGTGGGCACTATTTTAAATATTTTTATAGGCGGGAGGATTTTTTAATAAAGATTAAAAAATGCAGAAGATCTCTTGAATAATAATTTAATTTTTTTATTAATAGAATTAATTTATTCAATTTTTAGTTGACCATTAATTGAAAAAAAAATACAAACTTATTTCTTTTCTATTTTTTATACAGAAAAGATAAATCGAAGGATTTCAAGCGAAGGGAAAGAACAAATCTACAAAGAGAATTATCTATTAGAAATGAGTAAATAATTTTTTTTAATTTTAGAGTATTGATTATTAAGTCTTGAGGTGTAAATTATAATCGAAAAATCCTAAAATTTTAGGGTTTCCATTATCTTTTTTTGGACAGATAATTTAAGCTTTGATTAAAGTCAAATTAAGTGTTGAGAAAGTTGGTAATGTGATTTTATTGCTGAAATAGGAATTTGATGGGAATAGAAAGAAAAATTTTTGTTTCCTATGAATCATGATATGAATATTGTGTTTATAGTAATGGATTAAGGTTATATTATGTATTAAAGAATTAAATACTGTTATGATTATTATATATCGTTAGAAAGCATGTTAAATGTACTTTCTAATGAAATAAATGAGAGTCAAATTCGAGTTTTTTATGAAGAGTTATCTAATTTTTACCTAAGGATGTGCAGGTTACCTAGTAGCAGTAGTAAGGAGGAATTAGAAAATTTTTCTTAATTTTTATACAGGGATTTGCTGATTAATATATTTTTGGAAAGCTTATTGAGTCTACTTTCCAACGAAAGAAGCGGAATCGAATTTGGAGTTTCCTATGAATAAATACCTAAATTTTATTAAAAGGTATACAGGCTGTTTGGCAATAGCATATGATGTGGATTTCGAAAATCGTTATAATTAATCCACAAGGAATCATGAGATGGGCCATATATGGTTAGAAAGCTTGTCAAGTCTAGTTTCTAACACGTTAAAAGATTTTAATTTCGAATTGGATATCTTGAGATATAGTCATTTTAGTGAAAGTAGCACAAGATGCCAGAATTAGTTACTCGAGTTATTTCTTGTTTAACTTAATTGTTTTGGTATAAATGGTCTTAAATAGGTTGATTAATTACTATTATGTTGAAATTATCTTAAATAGGCATTTAATTATTTGGGGAGAAAAACTAGATGGTGAAATCGAAAGGAGGTAAGTAGAATCTCACATATTTTTTTATTTTCGAATCTATGTACATATTTATATTTTAAAATGAATGAATACTTGATTTCATTATTTTCGATGTATAAATAGGATCAAAAATATAATTATTTTGTGTTTTTGCTATATAAATGATGGATTATGCTTATGAATGAAATGAGAAAATGATTTATGTTTAAAGAATGATTTTATGATACTTACGTTTTTACATCCCTGAAAAGTGGGATCATTGACACCAGAAGTAGTTCTATGACCCTGTTTAATGGGTTATAGTAGTTAGCAAAGACATGATCATATGACCCTACTAATAGGTTATAGTAGTTAGCATAAGTGTTACTGACTTAAGAAGGAGTCATGAATCTCACATCGAACATAAAAGGAGGGTCACTGGGGTATAAAAGGGTTCATACTATCTCTTCTTTGTGAGGTGTCTTTTGTAGGATAAAATCGTGAGGTTAGGGGTTAGAACGGATAATACCTCACAAGGGTATGAACCGTGATAGGTGGGTTGATCTGAAACATCGGATGAGTGGATACTCGGGTCTTGGAGCCATGCGGGTTAGAGCTTAAATCTCGACCCATGACATAAGACCTTGGCTAGTGGGTTATAATAATTAGCAATGATCATGAGGATGAAATTATTGATACGACCAATATCACGGGTTATAACAGTGATCGTAGCTAAAGATAAATGAATGATAATAATGATTTGTGATGAATAATTTTTATAAATTAATCCATGATTTGGCGACATGTTTTGATACTGATTTATGATCTATGAATGCTTAATAGAATGCTTGATTTTTGAACTATTTTTGACATTATAAGTTGATAAATATTTTTTAGAATGATTTATATAATACGTATGAAAATGATGTTTGATCCGATAAGGTGTGTGAAGTATTTACTTACTGAGTTATGGTTTGCTCATTTTTTATTGTCTTTTCTTTCACAAATGTTATGAATGATAAGTATGATTAGTTTTGAGAGGAGTTAGAAGAATCGAGCATTAGAGAACTACTTAGAAATTAGAATTTTATGAAGTATTATTTTTTTTAGTTGTAAGACTCGACTTTGAACCTTTCGAGATTTGTTATTTAGTTATTTTACTTAATGAAAACCTTATTATATTTGAAAGTTGTTTAATGGTTATGGATTAGGCTTCGTATTGCTTTGAGATTTTTTTCAAAGTAATATGATTGTGGTATGTCTTGATCTTGGGATGTGACATAAAGTGGTATCAGAGCTAATATTTAAGATCCAAGAAAAGAAAAAACCAAGTTATAGTTAGTGTAGAACTTAAAGATTCTTAGCATTTATGCTAATAAGATTTGACTATTTCATTTTGACTGTTTACAAACTATTTTGTTGGTACTAATTTATGTGAGAATGAATGGTAAAAAAGAGATATTGGCAGACCTTGCTAGTAAAAAAAAAAAAGAACTGACAAGAGAAAGGAATGAATTTGAAACCACCAATGTTCAAGATGAGTAAATTGATATTAGAAATGCTTCTAATGCTCTGGTGACGCAGGATGATTTAGCTGGAATGTGTCAGGTGGTGTGTAATTTGATACAATAACAGTAGCAGACACAAGAGAATTTACAACAACATGAGACAATTTATGAACGATTTTGACGGGTTAACCCACCTCAATTTGAAGGCGACCCTGATCTTTTGGTTGCAAAAGCTTTGGTTAAAGAGTTGGAAAAACTCTTTAAGACGATGCGAATCTCTGAAGATTTGAAATTAAGCTTGGCTATTATTCAACTAAGTAAAAATGTTGAGTACTGGTGGGATACTATAAGTCCCATATTTGAAGATTCAAGTAAGCCTCTGACTTTGAGAAAGTTTAAAGAGATTTTTTTTAATTAATATTTTCCAAAGTCAGTGAAAATGGAGAAGGAGAATGAGTTTCTATAGTTGCATCAAAAGCATGATATGTTTGTACTGGAGTATGCCCAACAAGTTTAATGGGTTAGGATATTTTTGCACTCACATCATTGACTCAAATAAGAATAAAACGATACGATTCGAACATAGGTTGAAGCCAAGTATTCGATCTCATTTGTCTTTTCACATAATTGATAGTTACAAAGATGTGTTACAGTGAGCACTGAAGATTGAGTAAGACATGAAAAGATATGAGTAAAAGAGAAGTGATAAAAAATGCTTGAGGTTTGAAGAAGATCAGAGTAATCGCCAAAAAAATATTAGAAGAATATAGGTAAGAAATAAGGGATGAAATCTGGTACTAAACTCAAAAAATATGATTTTTATGAGCGATTTCATTCAGGACCATGTCTTAAGAAAGTAGGAGTTTGCTTTGAATGTGGAAATATGGGCATATTGCTCAAAACTGCCCAAAAAAAAAAATGATGCTATTAAAGCTAAACTAACAAAACAACCACAAAAAGGAAATGCTTGAGTTTTCACTTCACTAGGATGCTAATGCAGTGACAATATGGTGACAGGTACTATTCCTATTAATATGTCTATGCTAATGTTCTGTTTGATTATGGTACTTCTCATAGCTTTGTATCTGTCAAGTTTACTGTATCTTTAGGTATTGAACCTGAGAAGTTGAATGAGCCTTTATATGTTGCTACTCCTATAGGAAAAATTATGTGTGTTGATACTGTTTATAAAAATTATGTTGTACACATAGGGGTTGTGAACTACTAGCGAACTTGGTGCAGTTAAATATGATAGAATTTGATGTGATTTTAAGGAGAATTGGTTATTTGTACATTATGTATTTATTGATTGCTACAAAAAGAGAGTAGTGTTTCAATGTCCAAGACAACCAGAACTT